CACCCAGTGGGGAAGAGGGTACCCCAATAAAAGAAGTATATCTTATATTAATTCATTTATTAATAAACTAGTGGCCCGGTGCACGAAATCCATGCATGGGGCAGGCAGGCGGGGGGGTCCCTCAACCCAGCCTGCACCCTCTCCATTCTGGGACACCTCAAGGGATGTCCAACTGCTGGGATCAGGCCTAAACTGGCAGTCGGACTGGCAGTCGGACATCCCTCTTATAATCCGTGACTGCTGGCTCCTACCCGCTCACCTATCTGCCTGCCTGGTCACCCCTAACTGTCCTCCCCTGTCAGCCTGGTCGCCTCTAACTTCCCTCCCCTGCCGACCTGGTCGCCCCTCACTGCCCTCCCCTGCTGGCCTGGTCGCTCCTAACTACTCTCCCCTGCCAGTCTGCTCACCCCTAACCGCCTCTGCCTTGGCCCCCGCCACCATGGCTTTTTCCGGAAGGATGTCCGGAAGATGTCTGGGCTAATTAGCATATTAGTATAGATAAGTATTTGTTATATTATTCTCTACTTTTCAATATGTATTTAAAATACTCCAGAATATTTTAAGCGAATAAAAAATGGTCAAGTTGCAGAAAAATAAAAGTTTTGAAATACAACCTGGTAGGCTTGAAAGCAACAACATTTGCGTAAAAGGGCATAAGTTGCAGTCGGCAACAAAACTTGTTGTTAGGATTGCTTGGTTAATATTCTTTTGTTGGAAAGGTGTGGTTTGGGCAAAGGAGAAAAGGAAACCAGCCCTATAAAAGGGAATGTCTGATTGGGCCGTTGCCACAGCAGAGAGAGGCAGGTGCAGCAAAGGTTCAGGCTGTCCCACAGGCAAGGATGTCTGTGTGTATGAGACACCAAAGGACACCTGTCACACCTGAAACACAATTTGCTAACACTCACAATTGCAGAGCTCAGGAAGAATCACTGTTTTTAAAACTATTATTTCCCTGACATATAAAATATACATACATATAAATATACATGCATTCTTCCCTTGCCCTCCACTTAATATTTGGCTATGGCCTTCTTTTCATGTCAACGAATTGGATGCACAGACATAATTTTTAATGGCTACAGTGTTATCCCTGACTGATTGACATTACTGTGGTTTACTTCACTAACCCTTTATTGTGGGGCAGGTTGTTTCCGGCTTCCCCTGGCATCAACAACTACAGTAAACATAATTGCTTATTTGACTGTTTACTTAGGACACATTCACAGACATGGAACTCCTGGCCCAAAGCTAATTCACTTGAATTTTGATCCACATTTCCAAATTGACTTTCTAGAAAGTGCTTCTGTTTGTTTAGTCCATTGGTTTTAAATCAGATTACACTCCCACAAATGGGGTAAGAGAAAACTGTTCAACGCGCCTTAGGCAAATCGCAAACTCTTGCTGAACTTGAGCGACCCCTTCCCGGCATAGCTGTCTGCGTGCTTTTCAGGGCACTTTTGAAGGAAGGAAAGGGATCGGTGTCCCTACAGCTCTCCCGCAGGGACAGAGCTGGAAAAGCAAAGTTTCCCAAGGAGGTGAAGCGTAGCGGGGGGACCCTCCCAGCCGGGGAAGAGGCGTGCCCAGACGCCCCCTGCGCTCCAGAGCTGGGGCAGGGCACATGGGGCGGGGCCAGCCCTGGGCGGGCCGTGGGGTGGGCGGGGCAGCTCGGGCCCTGTTTCCTCTGGCCGCGTCCCCGCCAGCAGCCCTGAGCGGTAAGAGCCCCCGGTGCCCTTTCCCTGTCCCCTTCCCTGGGAGGGCGGGGAAAGCGGATGGTGGGGAGACCAAGCCGTCACTCCCAGTCCTAACTCTCGAATTCCGCACGCTGTGGTTACTGAGAAACGTTAGGCAGGAACAAGGCCGCCGGGTGCGGGAACCAGAAGGAATCCAGGCTGGAGGGTGAAGGTCAAGGGAGGCGTGGGGTGGCACGGCCGGACGGGCCCTTGTGTGGGGTGCGGG